GATTTAGAAATTACATAGGGGAATACTGTATACTTCCTAATTTTAATCGAGAATAATCTGATGGATTGACGCTTTAAAGACCGATCCCGCGCGAGCGAAACGTGTGAAGGACTATAATTTGTAACGTAACGTAAAAGTTAGATTATTGTAATTCTCTCCTCTCTGGTCTTTCAGAAAAGCGGATTCCGAGGCTACACTAAGTTCAGGACAAGTAAGGTAAATTCAACTTCGTCAATCCGTTTTGTTACAGTAGGGAGAGAAATGAGATTCATACTGTAACTAAAAGGCACATCTAAATCACGCACGCATCTTAATAAGTCTGAAAAGGGAATAAGCCCCACCAAATGAAATATTTTACTAAAAAAATTAATAGCGTACATGATAGCCGAAAACAAATTATGATCCGATGAAAGGTTAGGTGACTGGTACCAGTTTTCATCTTTTTGATGATTTGTAACTTTGAAAGAATACAACAAAAAGACTGACCAAGGCTACAGGATTGAATTATATAATCATTGGCTATCCAAAAATAGGTCTAAGTTCGTCAAGAGCAGTTTCCAAGGCAACGCTTTCAAAGGATTATTCAGACGTATTTTTCAGCTTAGGGCTCAAATAATTTGAAAAATAACCGGGTGACCCCATAATTTTTCTTAGCGATTGCTTTCGGCACTTGAAAAGGAAAATGCACAAGGATTTAAAAAAAATTCTACGGAGTGGAATTTCAGAAAATCTAGGAAAAGGCAATTTTCATGCATCGCAAATTTCCTTCCGTAGAATTTTCCAGTTTTTTTTTCTGACGATTGCTTTCAACGTTATTATCATATTGGAACAATAAAAAGAAGGCTGATAGTTTCTAAAGAAACTGTTTGGGGCTGCGTCGGTGGGGGTAACGAAATAATTTGAATATATCAACAAAGTTGAAATGGTAAATTGGCCACCTTTACGATTATAAAAGCTGACGTTTCGAGCGTTAGCCCTTCGTCGGAGCGAATAGAGGAATTGTAGGTTGTATGTGCTTTTAAAGGCAGAAAATGGAGCTATGTTATTGGTGGGAACATGGCAACGAGCAAAACAAGAATAAATTAGTGGAATGAAAAGCGTTCGTTGATACCTGCGGGATTTAGACTGCCGGTTTGAAAGATGAGCTTTTTTTCAAGAGTTTTACGGCTTTCCGTGCTACCTAAGTGCAAGGAAAGTCCGCAGATTGCCATATGTTGCTTAGAATGAGTAGGTAAATTAAACTTAAACTTTGGTTCGTCACATCAAGGGGTCGTTATATCGAGATTCTGTAGCGTTCATTTTACTGTAACTTTATCTGGACTGAAACTGAAGTATAATTCGTGTACTCTGTTATCGATAGTTGATCCTACTCCATTTTCTTGTGAAAAATATGTGATCGGACTCAACTGCTCCAAACATCCATCACACAGTAATCTCGTGTGTGGGAAATTAACATCTCCTACCCCCAACCCTGCAGGAGACAGGACCTCCTTTTATTCGTCCCTATCCGAGAAGACCAGAATATCTAACCATTTCTTGATGTTATAGAAAGGTAGCAAATTCTTCTTAATTATTTTAAGACCTTGAGTGTTGGTCCGGCCGGGGCTCGAACCCTCGACCTC